CCCCCCCCCCCCACCTCATAAACTAAATCATTCACTTTGGAACTAAACAATCATTGGTTAAATAATTTTTAAAAAAAATAATTAAAATTTCATCTAAAGCAAAACTTCCCCATTAAACAATAAATTGGATAGAACTGACATCGTCGGTCAGAAACCACCAATTACATCAGGCATTTCAGCATCACTGTCAATTTAAGGTTTTATCTGCATGATAAAAAAGTGTGACTTCACATAAGAACTTTCCACAATCCCGACCCCCCCACCCCTACCCCTGATCGTGATGCCATTAATGGACGCCCCCCAAGATACATTGATATATTTGACTTGTCTTACTTGACCTTACCAATAATTCCTTATGTTTGGTAATTTGAGCAGAAATACATACTTAAGGATACGATTTCTGTCACCCCGGCCCCTAATGGTTAAATCGGGATTTCTGAAGCCGCCTAACTTAATTTTTCAGTTAATTTTTCAAAACGTAACTATTTAATATTTGCCATTTCAGGACTTTTTCCCCAAATTAAATTACAACCATCTTGGTTTTTTAAGTTTCTATTTAATGCAGCTAATAGTGCTTTAGAGAGGCTCGCATGTGTATTTCCTTTCACTGAAAATCGCGATATTATAATACTAGAAAATATGACCCGATGTTATCGAGATAATGACCGCAGGCACTTTGCAATCACTTCCATCAACTATTGATAAGACTTATCACAAATCCGTATTTTTTTTTAAAAAATGATCTATGTCAAGATATTTACGTTTCTAACATCATTAAAAGTTTTTAGAATTATTTTTATGCTAGATATCCTACACCTACCCTACCCCTTTTTCGCGCCGCTAAACTACCATTTTTTTTTCCCCTCCACAAATGACCTTAAATTACCAAATCTGACTGATCACTAACTCAATCACTACTTTCACTAAAGAAGTTAACTGCAGGCGTATTTCTATGCTAGAGAAACCTTAAGATGTCATATGTTTTTAAAGTGTTCCATGTTGGGCTGACCCTACCACTTTTCGTGCCCCTTTAACTAACAGGGTTTTTTTTCTCTAAAAAATTGTGAAATCTTAAAATTAAATTTAAAACAAAAACTATATATACCATTAAATTTATTTTTTTTGATATTAACAGAATTTCATATACTGATATCTTCAGTAAAAATGTAACCAAACTCTTGCCCTTGTTTCGTACCATATTATAGGAAATCGTAAAAAAAAAAAAAAAAAAAAAAAAAAAAAAAAAAAAAAAAAAAAAAAAAAAAAAAAAAAAAAAAAAAAAAAAAAAAAAAAAAGAATTATTTTATCTAAAGAAGAATCTCTTAACCGTTTTTCACGTCAGTAACAAACTTAAGTGACTCTTTTTTTGTTTTTAACCAGAAATGTTATTAATCTCATAACAATAAACACCCACTTTGCTTTTCACAAAAGCAAAAACAAAAATATATTTTCGTTTTTTAAAAAGAAAAATCTTAACTCATATCTTTAATTTAAATTTTGTACTTGTGTAAAAATCATTGGGTTTAGATACTCATGGCAATAATAAATAATTATGTAAATCTACCAAATTTTGTTAACGCCATATATTTTCTTAATTGGTAAACATAGGTTTATTTGTGAAAAGAGAATGTAACATCTCTTTTCACAACTGTAATATTATTGGATTTAAATATCTTGTCATCCATGTAACAATGTACACTTCCTATTTCCTACCCCCGATATATATATATATATATATACCTAAGAAGGTTAATTATTTATAAAATACATTCCATTATTATCAGGCGTATCTTGTGCCGCCCGGTAAAAATGAAAGTATCGACATCCCCCCCCCTCCCCAAACCACCCAGATTTTAGTTACAGATTATAAAATCCTCCACAGGATCGTAGCCCCTACCTAAGCAAACACACATTTCTCTGCACTTCATATGGTTTACTATTTGGATGAGCGATAAGGGCATTAGGGGACGCAATTTGGCTTTGGGGTTTCGCGGCACTGATTGTTTTAAACTGCCTTTTCTTAGTGAAATTATTTTTAAAGATTGCGTTTTTATGACTTTATAAATTATAAAGTATATTATTGGAATGGATAAAAAGTAAAAACCTAATGAAATGTTAAAAATACAGAGCTAATTTTTTTTGTTTTTTTTATCAAAACTTTAAAAAGCACCCAATTATATTTATTATTTTAACTTTAAGAAGGGGGGAAATACGTTAACAGTTTTGCCATGCGCGGTTATTACATCAAAGAAACTTAGAGAGCTTTAGCTAAAATAAGCAATTCGTGCTATGACGTCATTTGCGTATTTATGTTGTTCAAATTATTTTTTTAATTTTATTTCGCAATATTAAGAACACACTAAAAACAGACTAAAAACAACAGATGTTTTTGTTTTCATGATAAATGTTATTACCATGTAATTCGTGGATCATATTTTTTAAATATTAAATTCGTTTTTTATCAAGTTTAAATTCTGAAAATTGCTTTACATAATTCTTGTATTTTTATTTTAAATGTTTTTGCAATTTTTAATAATAATAGATAAATGTTTACCAAAATAAAAGCGGATATATATATATATTTTTTTTTGCCATGAAATTTATTCGATTTCCGTAAAATAACACAAACTCTCTATAATTGTATAAGAAGTCGAAGATTCAAATTAATTCGTGTCTTTGGCGTTATGGTCAGCCTAGCTCATTCTTATAACGTATAAAAGTGTTAGTAATAGGCCATGTAATTGATTTCAAGAAGTATCTTGTCACAAATTTTCTCCAATAATTTTGAGGCATGGAGGTCGGACACTTTGCTAAGAAAACCCCACAATTTATTTGGTTTCAAAATCTCAAACTTTTCAAATGACGCCATAATAAAGACAGATGCGACGCCTTCTTCAATGCATTTTTAAGAAAGGAAATCTCCTTATTAAAGCCGTGTGAAATGACGACTGATGTCTTGTGTTGCTCATGTCTCTACGCTGTGCTAGCCTTGCGAGCATGCTCAATGTCTCTACGCTGTGCTGGCATGGCGAGCATGCTCAAGGCGCTCTGACGTTTTTGAACACTATTTCAAGCAAAATGTCTTTGAATGTCCTTTAAATAATTGTTAAATTTCCCGCAAAGACTGAGGCAAACTGTTTCAAAATTTAGGCGCTCCTGCCTCATAACAGTGCACATCGAAGGACTTATTTTTGTGTACGTCCGCATAGGGAAGGGGGAGGTAGGCTACATAGCCCGAGCTTTTGTATTATAGAATATTTGACAATTCAAAATCCCACATTTTTCTCTAATAAAGTTTTTTTTTATTTTGGAGTGGCTTTTTCCTCTCATTTAATTTTAAACAAACTTCCGTTCTAGCGATTGTCCTTCGAACACATTTTTTTTTTGTGTAAATTTAATCTTACCATATTAACAAGATGGACATTATAAACCATCCGAGCAGATCGGGTAAGATACACAATGTAATATAGATAAGCAATATTTTTACCCACGTATCGAAACTAGGCTAGAGCAAAAACTGTATAAAATATAGGATTTAAAAAAAAATTTAAAGCAACTCTATCTATAAATGTTGTTTGTGGTGATTTTTTAAAATTTATTTTAAACATATTTTTACAATTGTCTGTCCCGGGATAGACTAGACAGGCGACATTTTAGCTGCCTGCATCTCATCCGACTTCGGTGGCTGCGTGTTTTGTGGCTTGTTTCTTATTTAATGAAACCTAGGATAGTTCTCCTAAACATGGTATTTTTGCCAATTCGTATCTGACGAAATGTTTCATCACGCGATTCCTTTAAGGATTATCTGCTGCCAAATTTGAAAACGCCACTGCTTGGCTGTGAGGCCGAATTTGTTTCATTGAGCTCAAACGCTAAATAAATATTTATAACAAGGAGATTAAGTTAAAATATAAATTTAAACCAATGAAAATTTGAATCCCACTATCTACCACCATCTTTGTCAAATATAATTTTTTTGAAAAAAAAAACGTCCATAGGAGAATCAAGGTAACCCGTTATATCGCTGTTTTTTTTTTTTGTTTTTTTTTAAAAATGAAGTAGGTATCATAAAATAATAAAATTTATTGATTTTTTTTTAAAAAGTTCTAAATATAATTTTTTAGAAAAAAAAAACGTTCATAGGAGAATCAAGGTAACCCGTTATATCGCTGTTTTTTTTTTTTGTTTTTTTTTAAAGATGACGTAGGTATCATAAACTAATAAAATGTATTGATTTTTTTTTAAAAAGTTCTAACATTTAATAAAAGAAACTTACTTTGAAAGAACGTTGGCATTGTAAGGCTAGATACGGCTACATTTTAATGTGCTGGAGAGCGGTTATGATGTATGTACAATGCAGTATCACTGCGTCACATATTGAGGCCTAGTGCTGACATGAGAGGGGAGAGTTTCGAATTATTGGGATGTTGGATTGGAATTGCGAGTATGCAATGAATTGAAGGACCTGTGAATAATGTTATCGTCACGTAAGTTGATAAGTGTCATCATTTTTAAAAAAAGAAACAGATCGGGGCCCTGCGTCTCTTTGATTTTTCTAATGTAGCTTTTGAATACTAGTGGTTACTAGATACAAATTTAACACTTGGCGCTTTGCCATGAAAAGGTTAGTGACCCCTGATATAGACTAAAGAAATCAAACAAACAAACGAGCAAACAAACACAAATTGGCCTAAAAAAATGGTTAGTGTATTCATCTGTAGGATAACGCTTTACAAAATGGGAATATATAATATTTTTACTAAACCCATGAAATGATGTTATCATTAAAGGTACTTCTGCACATCAGCAACTCCCAAAAAAATTCCCAACCATTCTCGAGCATTTGCCCATGTTATTGTCGTAAAGTTCCAGTGCCATGAATTGTGGAACACTTTGCAGGGGATCAATAACTAGGGCTTGATCAGAATGGCAAATTTTAACAAAAAGAAGGGAAACTCTGTAACTTCGGATAAGTGTATGTGTGGAGGGGGGAGGGAGAGGGGGTAAAGGGTGAAATTTAAAAAAAAAAAAAATTATTTTATCTATAACAAGGGCTCAGTTACGATAACGAAAAATGACAATTTTGGCTTGTTGGGTCAGTGGAGAGATGACGCACCTGGTCGTGCAACTAAATGAAATCAGCAAAAAGGAAATGAAACACGTAAGATGGTGTGAATGTCTTTAAATGTACAATATCATTACACGATGTATGTAATTCGCTGCATGACGGAACAACCCATGACGTTGTGTGACAGAACAGCCCATCAAAACATTGCAAACAGGGCTGAGACGAAGACAACCAACATGGCTGTGACTGCCCACTGCGCGTGGTCGGCGGAATTAAGCTGCAGGGTCAAGGTCGTCCTCTCCGCTACCATGAAATCGGACTCCATGCAGAGCGCGGCCACGCTGTTCTGGTTGGACTCCCTGCACTGCCTGGGCAGGAGCAGGCACTCCTGCTGCTTCCTCAGACCCACCACGATGCTGTTGCACTTGACCGTGTCGTTGTCCGCCTTGACCGCCTTCATCTCACATTCAAGCTGGTTGAGTCTCGTCCTGTGGAGGGGGACAAGAGTGAGTATACAGGCCAGGGGCATTCAAGATCAAGCAAGAACACGAACTGAAGTGATGAATCAACAAGCAGTACAAAAAATCAACGAACCTTTTTTTCTCCCCATAAAAGGATTCGCGGACGAAAGATTTTAAAAGTAAAATTCAATTAAAAATTCAATTGTTAAAGTATATCTAAGGTATGATGGAGGAATTTTAACAAATGAATTTTTGTACTGGAATATTCTTACATTTTTTGTTGTTGTTGTTGTTGTCATGAAAATCAATTTCTTACAATTTGAATTTTCATTTTAAACTTTAAAAAAATATTGATCTTCAACACTTCAAAACAAAAAAAAATAAATAAATTTAAAAAAAAAATCACAGAAAGAGGCTATGCATTTTTAAAGCCTTTATATCTACTTCGCATTTTTTTTTTTTTTCGTTTGTTATTTTCTGGTTTTTTGCAAAATTTACGGACGGCTAATTGACCCACTTCCCGTTAAATTATTGAATTGAAATTTTGGCAAATAGACTAGTTTCCGATTACAACACATTAAAAAAAATATTGATCTTCAACACTTCAAAACAAAAAAAAATAAATAAATTTAAAAAAAAATCACAGAAAGAGGTTATGCATTTTTAAAGCCTTTATATCTACTTCGCATTTTTTTTTTTTTCGTCTGTTATTTTCTGGTTTTGTGCAAAATTTACGGACGGCTAATTGACCCACTTCCCGTTAAACTATTGAACTGAAATTTTGGCAAATAGACTAGTTTCCGATGACAACACATTCTATTAACATTTTTATCCCAACCATTCTTTCAACTGAAAATGAAAGAAAGTGATGCCACTGCTTTCATGACAAGTGCACTAAATGAGATTCTTAAAAATATCGCAAATGCGTTTGGCGCGTAATATTTACTTTTTTCTTTTTTTTCTTCTAAACAGTTGGACTAGTAAATCTGCGAAGTAAAAGCGTGTATGACGTTAAAATATGTATACGAATTAAATTATTAAAATTGCCTTTAAAGTTTTTCTAAAAATAAATTTGTTTTGAAGGGCTGTTTAATTTGCAAATGAAAATAACAAAATCAATTGCTAAAGCTTATGCACTACTAATCGCAAATCTATATTATCCCCACCGACTTTTACACAGTACTAATAGACAAGAGTGTTGTTGTTGAGCGGTGCGTACCTGCAAATCTCGTCCATGTACTGTGTGTCCGTAATGGCCGGATCCTCCAGCTGACTGTCCAGCGTGGTCACTTTAGCAGACACGGCATTGCGACAGGTGAGAACGGGGTTGATGGGGAACTCGAAACATTTGGTGGTCTCCAGGTAAACTGATGGATTTCAAACAATTTTTTTCATGAGTTATTGTCAATCGTGACGTGTTTACCCGGGAATGAGGTTGGGGTTAAATTAGTTCGTTTGTCTGCTAATTGGCATTCAAAAAAATTATCGATATCAAATAATAGATGTATTTTTTAATTCTTTATATTTACTTCGCGTTTGTTCGTGTGTTTCTGGCTGAGTGGCAAAATATTCTTACATTTACTTGAACCACTTCCCGTCAACCTTTCGAGCTGAAACTTGAGAAATTGACGCGTTGCCGATTACAAACGCTGCTTCCGATTTTCAGCCTCGCTACCTAACCTCAACCTCCCCAAAAATAGGTATCTCTGTTTTTCAGGGGTAGGATGAAGGAAATAAGATTTCACGAAATAAAATTCCCGATAACTGCACTAAATTATATTCTTTTTTTTTTTTTTGAATAACGCAAGTGCCTATTAGTGTGTTGTATTTTCTTTTTGTCTTTCTTAAATAGTTGGTGAGATACATAGGCGGTGTAAAAGCGTGTGGGACATTAGAATATTAATATAAAATAAAATACTTTAACAAATCCGTATAAAATATTTATTCGAACAACTTATTTTTTTAGAGGTGGTTGGTTGCTTCTTCTTGGTCAGTTTGGTTTGAACCGGACTGACTTGCTAAATATTATTGAATGATGATTTCCCCCCAAACATTCAGCTTACCCTTAATGATAATTTCACCCAAACATTCAGCTTACCTGCAGTGTAGTTACACAGGACGTCGTATGTTTCATTCACGGCGTTGATGTCGAATCCGTACGCCCCGAGGAGTGTTGCAGAATCGTCACACCCTTGCGCCGCTGTCCTCAAACACTGTATGAGTTGCGTTCTGTTACTGTTAGGTTAGAAGAAACATGATCTATGAGTCACCCCCGTAACGCATGATTGAAGGATGAAAACTATGACAAAAACGTAACTTAAGCAGAATTTATAATTATGATTTCGTCCTGTAACTGTCAATCATTCATCATGCTTATCCGAAAACGGTTAAAAGAACATGACTACTTAAAAGCAAATTAATTTTTTTTTTAAACTTATCATAATTTCTAAACTTTTAAACCCTCTTGGGACATTTTAAAGGTAAGGAATAAATTCATGTACACGCAGAGAAAGTTATGGAGAGGTCTGAGTCTGTTCTAGTTTCCTCTATCGAGTAATCTACTAATGATTTATTTAATTTAAGACCACTTCGTTGTTTGAAGTCTGGCCTGAGGGTAAACTATACCTGCAGAATCTGGACACCTCTGTGCTGTTGATGCCCAAGATGTAATCCCTTGCAGACGTGGGGCTGAAGATGAGGAAGTCTGAGAGTTTGAAGTTGAGGTCGGTGTAGCATTTGGTCAGACTTTGCTTGAACGTGGCCCGGCACGCTGAACACAGAGAATGGGACGTTACTGGTAACCTGGGGTTGGGTTTTATTCATTGTTTTCAAATGAACTTACTCTAGTGTCTCCGTAATACTTATCTATAATAGCTAAGATGATTTGCATATTTATTTTTTTAAATAAGGAATCCAAACTTAAAACTGGTCCGGCTTACAGTATTCTCAAAAAAAAAAAAACAACTTAAAAGTAAAAACATTCTTAGAAAATAAAAAAAATTGCATGTATATAACTGTAATCAGACAGTTGCAACATACGCAAGTAAACCTTGGACCCTTAAAAATGCGCCACAAAGCCAATTAAACAATAAATGGGAGAGACATTGTTTCCGGAAAATATACGGACCAGCAAAGGATGAATATGGATGGAACATTTGAAACCATCAGGATTTATATAGTTTATATGAAGATCCCACGCTGGTAGCAAATATTTTAAAAAAATTTCCTCCTATGCTGAGCTGGACATTTAGAAAGATTTCCTAATGACATAGGGTTGAAGAGGGTGCACCGCTAAACCCTCAGGTGTAAACGGCTCAAAGGCAGACCCAGGCTGGATGACGTGAAGTAGGATCTACAGCAGCTGGGAATCCAAGAATGGAAAAAGAAAAGCAAAAGAAAGGAGAAGATTCTGAGTGGAGTGATGTGGTGAGACAGGCCAAAGCCCCACATGGGAAGTAGCAGCCACAGGGATGAATGGATGGACTTACGATTTTCACATTTTTTGTTGATGGTCTTGAAGAAACCTTTAAAAAGGTTAACGAGGCCGGTCTTCTGCGTCTGGTTGCACTGTGCGTCTGGTAAGGCCTGGGCGCTATCCACTGCTACCTTAACACAGGTGAACAGGAAAGATTTCTCGCTGGGGACAGACATCATGTATAAAGAATCACTAAAATGACTTAAAGCATTCTTTGTTTGTTTTGCAATTGACGGGTGTTGAGGAAGTTTTAAGGTTTACGGACAAAAACTTATTTTAAAGATTATGTTAACACAGATTATTATTCAGCTGAATCAAAATTCATCAAATAATATTTATATTTCTTGCCATACTTTTTTCAAAAAGTTGTACAAATGTGTATATGGATCTCCTTCTCTCCACGAGAAACATCAAAAAGAAGAAATAATGTAGACATCATAAGAAAACGGAACTTCTACCAATTGGTTTTCTAGTTAAAGTTCGTTCGCCAACTATGGAAAAGGGTTTATTGGGATTTGTATTGTGATATCAACTATGTCCATCCATTGGGCACTGTTTAATTATTGCCCCAAGTTTAGCAAGTTCACAAACATTAAATATAATCATTAAAGTTTTTTGCGATATAAACAAATTGAAAACACAAAGATAACAGAATTATGTGATTAAGGGAATCCAATTTTGGTCCGAGTGGATTATAAGTTTGAGTTATTACAACTCGAAAATAATTAGCTCACTTCTCAATAAAAAAAAATCTAATAGGATTGGTCGTTTGGTTGAAGATTTACAGCAGGTTATCCAAACCTGGGCTCCGAGGTGGAATTTCATGAGGTGGGAAGTGGCCTTTCAGTGGCTGCAAGGTGACATTGCAATGGGTGCGAGGAAAAAAATATTTAATATCAGAGGATACGTTTAGCTTCTAAGTTTTTAAAAGTTATAATAAGCTACGTTAATATTTTGTTAAAAAAATCTTCATTTTAACTGTCCTTTTTGTCCTAAAATTCACAATTTTATCTTATGGTTTCTACAGTTCTCTGTGCTAATCAAAATAATTAAAACAACAACTCGATTACTTTCACATTTTAAAATGCATTTTTATTTCGGTAAAAATAAGATGGGGTATATATATCAATTTCTTGGCGTCGCCAAGTACGTAAAGTTTAAAAGTCACTGGTTTACAGTTTTAGATTCATTATATTTAAATCTTAAATCGCTATGTGTTAATGGTTTGGTTATTTTTGTGGGTGCATTTTTTTGTGATGAGATTACTTGTGTAGCTGTTGCTAAGCACTTTGTATTTGTGACGCATTTTGGTATGAGAGGTTTGACCATGTTCGTTGCCGTAATTTTAGCGGTTGGGTTGCCGCTGAGAGAAAGTGGAAGAATGAAGACACACTGTTGGTTTGTTTGTTTTTTCAATAAACAACCATATGTCCATTGTCCACGGAATTACCCCTGGACTTCACGAAGTCATTGAACTACGTATCCAGTTAGCAGTTCGTAACACTATGTTCAAATAATATACTGGACTTCACGAAGTCATTGAACTACGTATCCAGTTAGCAGTTCGTAACACTATGTTCAAATAATATACTGGACTTCACGAAGTCATTGAACTACGTATCCAGATAGCAGTTCGTAACACTATGTTCAAATAATACACTGAGACCAGTTCTGTACTTGGCCTGTTTAAGTTTACGACTGCTGTCAAATAAAATCATTTCCCTCCAATATAATGTTGGAAAGGCAACAATGAACGGCTAAACATTTTTTTGCACTGCATGAAAAATAAGTCAACTAAATCTAGAGGATATTTGCATGGTAATATGGATGAAATACGGATGGTAATATAGATTGGGATATGTGGATATATTTTAAATGATGATGTATTATTTCATGGATATATGACTTGAGGTTACTAGTTGTATAAAGAAACAGAGGATGTAAATCAAAGACTCGAATTAATTGTAAATGCACACGAATTCTTTTTTTTTTTTTAATGAAATCTGCAAATGCTGTTTTAATATAGTAGACTACTGAAACACTTACACACATGACGGGGCACACAGGTATGAGACACACAGTCCTCAGCTACCAACATTACGAGCCACAACCGATGCCTTCACACATTACGAGACACACAGTCAACACTGAACACATTACGAGAGGTACAGCCAACACTTACACACATTGCAAAACACACAGCCAGCACGTACAACATATTACAAAACACATAGTCAATGCTTAATACACATTACGAGACACACAGTCAATGCTTACAGGCAAAGTTTGGCCATGAATGCATTCATGTCACTGGCCGCCTTGCCCATCGTCCCGTTTCTGGCCACCCAGAAAAAGTTTTCGGTTGTCATGTTCTTGCTAGTGAGGCAGTTGGTCAGTGTCGTCACGAAGTTGCTCTGACAGGCAGACTGACTTTGGGCACCCAGAAAACAGACACTGAGACAGACAGCTGAAATGAAAGTTTATGCTCATATTAAATCAAGAAATATTCAAATATTTTTTAAAAATTAAATTTATAAAAAAAGGTAAACTAAATTTAAAGATTTATTTTGCTTTTTGAAAATGTTAATTATCTTTTAAATAATATTTCAGCTCATGTGTCGGAAATTTTTTGAAAAGTACCAATCAAGATATCTGGTCAAGCTCTGGTGGGTAGAACAATTCCAGGGAGCCCATATCTCGCACAAGTATAAGCCAAAAAAAAAAAAAAAGCAGAGAGATATTTTTTTTTTTCAGTGTGGGAAAATTTGTGAAAAGTACCAAACAAGATATCGGGGCAAGCTCGGGGGGGTAGAACAAATCCAGGGAGCCCATATCTCGCACAAGGAAAAACCAAAAAAAAAAAAAAAGCAGAGAGATATTTTTTTTTTCATTCACTAGATGTAACTTGAAGCAAAACAATAGTGCATCCCTGACGAAGTCCTATCACTTCACATGTTTAACCCCCTTCTTGTTGCGTACTGGGCTAGAAATAGTTGAACCTCTTTGAAAATGCCATCTACTTTTGCTGTTCCATGCATGCTGTACACATATGCTCCTTGCAATTTCACGTCGAAATCACTATTGATTATATGAAGTATGGGGCCGGATGTGTTCCCCGGGCCGTAGTTTGCCTACCCCTGTTTTAGCAACAAGTCCCACAAGCTTAAGTATATTGCTTTATATGTATGATATTTTTTTCTTTTCAATCATTTTCAAGCAGTTCATAAGTCATGACTTTGAAATTGCTTCCCTTAATTTGTATGTTGTTTCTATTTACAAGTATATGTTGCGCTCTAGCCTCAAGGTCATCTATACGTACAATTTCATTTACTTTAATTTTAAATCAATAATTAAACACAGTGTCAAACAGGTGTTCGAGTTTAAGTTTTTTGTTTTTTTTTAATCAGAAATGTTTAGGCCGATGATAGTTTATTTAAATTCATAAACCGTTCTCATCTTTTGAACTTACCTGCTACAAGGAAATGACCTCTTGAGTCCATGTCGATTATCGACATTCAAACGAAATATTTTTCCAAGTGTTTTTCAAATCTGAAAGTATTCACAACTGTTTTCAATACCTTTGGTTAATTTCTGATATCGATTTCAATAAATAGTATCGGCCAATCGGGAAATATTTATCAATTGAAAATAACTGTGTTGTTCATTTTTTTTTAAATGGCTTCCCTTTTTGTTTGATTGTTACTCTTTGTTTTTTTTTTAATTTTATTTTTTCCTAAGTGTTTCTTTGATTTGTTTTAATTATTATCAATTTCTGTCTCTTTACTTACTATTTGCTAATAACAAGATACAAATATGAGAAATTGCTTTTTTGTTTTTTTGTTTTTGTTTTTTTTGGTGTGTTTTTATGTTCCAAAACGTTACTACTACAAGCCCTAACTCTCTAACAAAAATGTTTAAATGAATTGAAATAGCACACGGCTTACTCTCTTTATGGTCGAACGCAAACAAAATAGCTAGCCTTTCCGGAAATTCCGACTAATGTATCCTTAAACTACCATAATCCATTAACTACCATAATCCATTAATTAACTACCAATAAGCTTTTAGAAAGGTAGTGACGTTAGTGCTTGCGGTAAAAATAGAATGTTACCTACGTCAAAGACCTCACGGAGTATCATCCCACACACCTTCGTCCTCGCTCTGGGGCATAATTTGTTGTTCTTCCTGATGTCCTGGGGCCTTTGGGATGAATAGTAAGGGTCGTTTAGGTCAAAACAGTATTTCCCAACTCTGACCGAAGAATGTTCTTTTTCAGCATCGTAGATAAGGACAGCGGTTCTTAGCCTGTTGTTAGCTGTTCTTGACGTCTTAGCCGATGGCCTGGAACTATATAACTTTAAGAAAAAATGTATGCTATAATAATTGGATGCGTACCTCTCGTTTATTGGAAAATGAAATGTTTTATGTTTATTTTTATTTTGATTATTCTCTTTGCCCTGTAATATTCCGGCGTCTTTAATAAAGTTTAGACATTTAACGTATTGTGTGCGGCATCAATGGCTAAAGTGTGTGGCATCAGTGGCTAGTATGTGGGGCATCAGTGGCTAATTTGTGTGGCATCAGTGGCTAATGTGTGTGGCATCAGTGGCAAGTTTGTGTGGCATCAGTGTCTAGTGTGTGTGACATCAGTGGCTAGTATGTGGGGCATCAGTGGCTAGTTTGTGTGGCATCAGTGGCTAGTGTGTGTGGCATCAGTGGCTAGTATGTGGGGCATCAGGGGCTATTTTGTGTGGCATCAGTGGCTAGTGTGTGTGGCATCAGTGGCAAGTTTGTGTGGCATCAGTGTCTAGTATGTGTGGCATCAGTGGCTAGTATGTGGGGCATCAGTGGCTAGTTTGTGTGGCATCAGTGGCTAGTGTGTGTGGCATCAGTGGCTAGTATGTGGGGCATCAGTGGCTAGTTTGTGTGGCATCAGTGGCTAGTGTGTGTGGCATCAGTGGCAAGTTTGTGTGGCACCAGTGGCTAGTGTGTGTGGCATCAGTGGCTAGTGTGTGTGACATGAGTGGCTAGAGTGTGTGACATATGTGGCTATTGTGTGTGGCATCAGTGGCTATTTTATGTGGCATCAGTTGCTAGAGGGGTTTGCATTAATGGCTAGTGTGTGTGGCATCAGTGGCTAGTTTGTGTGGCATCAGTGTCTAGCGTGTGTGACACCAGGGGCTAGTGTGTGGCATCAATGGCTAGTATGTGTGGCGTTAGTGGCTAGTTTGTGTAGCACCAGTAGCTAGTGTGTGTGGCATCAGTAGTTAGTGTGTGGTTCATCAGGAACTAGTGTGTGTGGCATCAATGGCTAATATGTGTAGCATCAGTGGCATTGCGTGTGGCATCAATGGCAATTGTGTGGGGCATCAGTAGCTTGTTTGTGTGACTTCAGGGGCTAGTTAAACGCCAACACATACTGCTGATTAGAACATGGATCAATGGCATCATGACAAGAACATAGATCAATGGCATTATGACGAGGACATAGATCAAAGGCATTATGACAAGAACATAGATCAAAGGCATCATGACGAGGACATAGATCAAAGGCATCATGATGAGAACATAGATCAATGGTATTATGACGAGTACATAGATCAATGGCATCATGAAGAGAACATAGATCAAAGGCATCATGATGAGAACATAGATCAATGGTATTATGACGAGTACATAGATCAGTAGCATCATGATGAGAACATAGATCAATGGTATCGTGACGAGGTCATAGATCAATGGCATCATGACGAGGACATAGCTCAATGACGGGAAATCATATTATTTAGTTTTTTTCATCAGAGTTGCTGATTGGTGCATCGCATGAAGAAACAAAATGTTGGCGGATCAGTTTTGTAAGGACCACTTACATAATTGTATCGTAGAAACCAGCAACACTGTAACACACTAATCCACATCTACAATGTTTACATCAGGGACAATTGGCAGCTTTAACAAAGTTTACGAATTTAGTTTGCCAACATCAATCTGTTGGACAATAGACATCGGTCAAGGCTATTAAAAAAAGGTCAAGGCTGTCATCATGATTCGACATGATACAGTGGATTCTCAACTATGTTTTTTAAAACATTTCTATTTTTCTTGAATAACAAATAACCTTAGCATTCCCAAGGGCCATACTTTATAGGCCCTGCTCTGCTTGATTACAAGTCGATAGCATTGTGAAAAAAAAAAAAATTTCAGACAACCTTCGTGACGTGTAGCTCCTTGAAGATACTTCTTACTTTCAAATAACCTGGTGTGTGGTGACTTCCCTTATAACAACAAGTTTGAGGACCAGTGGTGTATAGGGATTAAATAAGTCGTTTTTAAATATTTTTTTTTTTAAAATTATAATTACCTTATAATTTTGGTTGATATCTGGAAAAGAGTTTTTAAAAATACTCTTTATTGACTGTGGACATTTTCATCAATGAAATATATACATATATATATATATATATATATAAATAAATATATATATATATATATACATATATATATATATATAAACATTGCAATGTTTATTGCAATTTGGCATTTTATATAAAGACAAGACAGTGATTGCACCAGATAGCCTCATTGCACTGTTAAATGTTTGTCAACCATTGGCGTAAGAGACACCAAACTCATTTCATTTTTTCTTGTGAAAAGAGTTTTTAAAAATACTCTTTATTGACTGTGTACATTTTCATCAATGAAATATATACATATATATATATATATATATATAAATAAATATATATATATATATATACATATATATATATATATAAACATTGCAATGTTTATTGCAATTTGGCATTTGATTTAAAGGCAAGACAGTGATTGCACCAGGTAGCCTCATTGCACTGTTAAATGTTTGTCAACCATTGGCGTAAGAGGCACCAAACTCATTTCATTTTTCCTTGTGGGTTCTGGGGTCCTAATAGGTCCTCAAAGATGACGTCAGCCGAAGAGTGCAAAATTTGATACTCTTATTCCGGGACAGGGTTTGTGACGTCGACGAGTTCATTGAAGTTGTCAGTTCCCCCCCCCCCTCCCCCCCCACCTACTTTTACCGTTGAAACGATACAAAATCCATGGAGGATTTGTATTACTACAGGTGAGAAATGGTAATCTGCGCCACTTTGAACGTCTCAAAAAGAAACCCCTAATTTATACTGCATGTTAAAGAGGGGTCAAAGTGTGGGGTGGGGAAGGGTGGTGGTGTGGCGGGGATAACTACAATGAATGGATAGATCTAGACCAGACTTGATACAATGAATGGATAGATCTAGACCAGACTTGGTACAATGAATGGATAGATCTAGACCAGACTTGGTACAATGAATGGATAGATCTAGACCAGACTTGGTAAATGAATGGATAGATCTAGACCAGACTTGGTACAATGAATGGATAGATCTAGACCAGACTTGGTACAATGAATGGAAAGATGTAGACCAGACTTGGTACAATGAATGGAAAGATCTAGACCAGACTTGGTACAATGAATGGAAAGATCTAGACCATGAGACTTGATACAATGAATTTAAAAATCTAGACCAGACTTGGTACAATGAATGGAGAGATCTAGACAAGACTTGATACAATGAATGGGTAGATCTAGACCAGATTTGGTACAATGAATGGATAGATATAGACCAGATTTGGTGCAATGAATGGATAGATCTAGACCAGACTTGATACAATAAATAGATAGAGCTAGACCATACTTGTTACAATAAATAGATAGATCTAGACCAGACTTGATACAATGAAAGAATGTATCTAGACCAGACTTGGTACAATGAATTTATAGATCTAGACCAGACTTGGTACAATGAAAGAATGTAGCTAGACAAAACGTGGTACAATGAGCGGATTGATCTAGACAAGACTTGGTACAATAAATGGATAGATCTAGAGAAGACTTGGTACAATGAATGGAAAGATCCAAACCAGGCATGATACAATTAAAGAATATATTTAGACCAGACATGGTACAATAAATGGATAGATCTAGACCAGACTCGGTGCAATGAAAGAATGTATCTAGACAAGACTTGGTACAATGAATGGATAGATCTAGACCGGACTCGGTACACACGCTCTTGAAAATCTATATTTAACAATTGAGGATTTTAAACTCATAATATTTAATAGTCACCATTTAAGCTGAGGATATCCTTTAGATTTCATGTTAAAATAAAGATGAAGATTCTCGAAGATAGAGTGTCTACGTTAGTTTATTTTTTTTTTAAAGGGCTTTAAGATTCTATAAATATCCTTGTAATGTTTTTTTTTCGTCTCTATAAATATTTATGGTGTTTCTGAAAAGTAGAATAAGGATGATAGAGCCTAAAGTCTCCAGAACGTTTCTGAAATGTGAGCTTGACAACAGAAAATATCACGGCTTTCTGTGGACAAGGAAATAACCTTACTCCGATGACATGTTGGCATTTAAATTTGGAGTGTCATAAAGATGTCGTAGCGGAGCCGAAAACAATCCAGTGTCACGGAACCAACCTAACAAAAGAGACACATAAAGATAAAGAGAGAGAGAGAGAGAGAGTGAGTGAGGGAGAGCGAGAGAGGGAGAGAGTAAGGGGGAGGAGAAATCGGAACATATAAATCGTGAGGAGGACATAAGACATAAGGAAACACAAACCAAGTAATAAGGATGGTAAGGATGAAGAGGGTGGTAAGGATCAAGAGAGTGGTAATTATGAAGAGGGTGGTAAAGGATGAAGAGGTTGTTAAGGATCAAGAGAGTGGTAATTATGAAGAGGGTGGTGAAGGATGAAGAGAGTGGTAAGGATGAAGAGAGTGGTAATTATGAAGAGAGTGGTAAGGATAAAAGATAACAGAGGTCTAAAAATTAATAAAGATATAAAGCCTTTTGTAAAT